TGTTTGTTTGTTTTTTGTCTTTTTTCTTACGATTATATTATTATTGCAAATATCCAGTATATAAGTGAATGTACAAAATTGAAAATGAAAATGAATAAAACATTTAATTATAAAAAATAAAAAAAAATTTGAAACCCACCATTGCCCCCGCCCCAACTGTATCTTTGAATTTACAATATAGTAGGACATGAACCAGGTGGCAAAGGAAATGGGGAGGGTAAAATTAAGCAAAGCAATTTACACATCAGTGCTTGATGTTTCATTTATGTTGTCAGATGAATTCATTCCTCCCAAAAAAAGATGGCCCTGTCATCATCACAGGGAAACAATTCCCAGTGGCTTCTATTAGGGAGGAGGAGGCTTTTCAACACAGGGAAATGGTATTCTCTTACTGTCTGCTTTTTCTTCCCAAGATAGGTGGCCTTGATAACCTCTTTGAGAATTAGCCCTGCTGGTCTTGGAGATGGGAGGTTGCAATTGGCAATAAAGTACACACGTTTTATTGAGGCTTGCTAAATCTGAGGGTCAGATAAAGAGGATGTCTAGCCTAAGACATATTGATGGCTGAATATTTAGCCCAGGAGCTTTCTCAAGTGGAACTTCAATGCTGATAATTGCCACTTTACACAACCTTATTAATTTTAACTTTTATCTTTAATGTGTTTGAGGGGATTTAAAACTCAGTTGACTAAACTGATATGCTTTCAATTAAAACTGAGGAAGAGGAATTCAAGCTTAATATGCTGCTTGCTTCTATTTCCCCTTCACCCCTTCTCTATTTAAATATTGAGGATTCTCACCGTCCTTATGATTTACATGTTATTACTCTTGTTTTTGTCTCTTACTTTGCGTGATTAAGAAAGAGAAAGGAATGATCAGTTGCTTCTGAAGGAAAGATCTCAATCAACTCTGCCAATTTAGGATCTCCCACAACTTACAACGTAATGCTGGAGCTGAGATCATTGTTCATAAAATAAAGCAAAATCTGTCAGCTTTATAAGGCAGTCCAGACAAGAGATACACCCAGAAGTACTAACTTTATTGGTCATTAACACCTGACTGCCAAGGCCATTCCCACATTCCAGTACAAAATCTATATTGCATCTGGCTTCACTAATCCAAACCTGTGGTCTCATTTCTTGGAACTCAACCCAAATTTCTAAATGATGGCTCTTATTCTTTTGTCTGGCTTGTAGCCAAGCACAGAAAATTCCCATACATCCTGTTCCAAGAAAAAGGAAGGTGAAAAACAAAATTGCTCAATCAAGACCTCCTGGATGCTTCTGTTAAATGTGCAGAGCATAGTGAGTTTTAATTACATATGTCTTTTGTCTGTTCATATGTAAATGCAACCCTCTAGCTTAATTTATGGTCCAGTGTATTGTGCAAACTCACAAAATGGATTAATCTAATAACAGTATTTTGTACATGATCGTTTTTTATGGTATATACTCAAATAAGTAACCATATACACTAAACTAAACACAATAATACAATTATTCACAATAATGAACCATACTTTGTAAAGGGATACCTTAGCTTCATCTACTCCAGAGACTTCAAATACTGCATTCCTGTATTTCATCCAAGGGCAAAAACATAGATATTATCTCTCAACAATGAACTCAGTCCAACAGAACAGCCAACATAACTCGTGTCAGCCAAACAAGAGAATATCTCCAAAGAACCAGAAAACACAGAAATAGAAAAAAAACTATTTTGTTCTTTGGAGTGTACAATATGTAAAATATATTGCAAAGACATCATGTAACATTTATTTATTGCAATCATTTACATGTTGTTTACTTTAAAGATACAACAGCTTTCGACAGTAGATGAAAAAACTTCCCAAAATGTAATATCTTAAAATTATAAGAAATATATAGTATACTACTATATTGTAATCAATATAATACACTATTGTAAACACATTCCTGAAAAATGCTGTGAAAGAGGGAAGTCAACACTCTGAGGCCCAACTAAGAGGGAGGGAGGGAGGGAGAGAAAGAGAGAGGGAGAGAGAGAGAGAGCAACAACACATTCCAAATTAAGAAGAGCACCAGGAATCAAATTGTCTCTCTGAATTGAAGAAACATGACTCCACAAATTAAGTCAAACTGGTAGGAAAAGACACAGCAGCTTGGTACAATCAATATTCCATCTCCTTGCTTTCTTTCCTCTCTGTGTTATCCTTTGGATTTTGTTAGACTATCTGTTTGAAATTTGGACTGCAACCTGTTTTGTCTGTTCTTTCTTGGATCATTGCTGAACTATCTCTCTGCTATCTGAAAAGTAACCTTTGTGTTTTCATTCTTTAAGCAGAAAGTTGTAGTTTGCAACATGTTTGCATACTTATAATTAAGGATTTATGATGGCAATAAATATTTTATTTGTTTGTAATTGGTCACTTGGGAGGAATATCAGGGAATTGACAGCCATTAGTTCACAGTCCAACTAAGCTCAATGCACATTTGCTTTCTTATCACTGGGAAATTTCCTAAATGACTGCTGGAAAAAATTCAGATATATAATTAAATTGGGGACATCAATTTAACGGGTCTGTTCTCTACCCCAGAGATCAGTGGTAGCTATGAATATCACAATAATTGGCTGTTGACCAGAGCATGACAGCCAATTGATGTTAATGTCCTCTACTGCCAGATCACAAATTAATTTCAATGAGGTGAAGAGCAAACTGACTTGGATTACAGGAGTTAGTACTGTTAGGATTTAGTTGTCTTGTAGCCATGAACTCCTGAGTTCACTGACTCAACCTTCACAGAATGGAGGTCCTCCAGCACAAACTACTTGCTAGAGTCAACCTTTAGCCTGGCAATGAGGCTGAAGAGGTCAGGGAAGGAGCAAATTGCTGGTACACCATCAAAAACATTCAGCTACAACCTAGTCACCTGCAAAACAATATCGTTGTCAGATTCTCAGGAAATTATTAACACCACCATTCCTGCCCTATCCTGGAGTTAAGGTTAGGATACAGAGAGATTACTCCATCCTTGCCTAGCCAGGTCTTAGTGATACATGCCGCATTTCCAACATCAGATCATGAAGTAGCAAATCTTTTTACAAATCATTATGGCATTCATTAGAATCAGCTTGAGTCTAAAGCTTCCTGTTATCAGGTAAAAAAGAACATGCTAGGTTGGGTCATATAAGATGGGAAAGAAATCAGATGTCCCCTTTCCCCTTCCCCTGTAACCGACAGATCCCTGCCCATCACCTCCACAATCCTTCTATTACTCTTCAACCTCTTGAGCATCCTACTTGCCCCTTCACTCCATTTTCCTCATTTTAACAGGCTACCTACAGCTATTCTGTCAGGTAAAAGCAGGCTGGCCCTTCTCAGAGAAATTCCAGGTTTTAGCCTTCCCCCTTCACTCCCTGAGAGGAGACATATTTATACACCAACTCTTATTCTCTGAACTTCTTCATGCATAATTTGAATGACTTGACTAGTTTTTAAAAGTAGTTGATAAAGATGATCCTTCTAGAATATTTATATGCATCCATTACTTGGTGATATTTTATTGTTAGAGTAGCATTTGCTAAAAATCTTGCATATGCCAGCCTTTGATCCCTGATCTCATTTGTGACAACTAAAATTCTAACATTCTTGGTTCTTTTGAAGATGATTAGATTGTTGTCCTTGACATATTATGGTTCACTTGGGAAGAACAAACATGTAGTTGATGATGTTTGGATTTGTTTGTTCATGCCAGTGCATATTTTATGAGATGTAGTTTAAGGATAACTTTTATATGCTTATTATAAATTCAATTTATTTGTTTGTAAACATGAAATTAAGTACTGTTATGATCTATCTCCTGAATACTTTTAGTTTTTTGGTTTAAATCCTTTTCAATCGCAGTTGGCCTTACACCCAATTTAAAACTTCTTGATTACCTCAGTAGGATTTATGGTACTGCTCTGGTTAAAAGTAACAGTCTTTTTATGCAGCTATATCAAGAATTGGTCACATGCATTCAAAATTATCTTGGGTCCTTCTACCTAACTGCAGCAGTTTCAGCTTATTTGGTAAATTTGGGTCTTCTCAATAACTTAGTATTTTGCAATGGTCTTTTCAAAAGTGTTTGTTACTTTTTCTTATACAAGTTGTCTGGTTTTATACACAACATATTTATTGTTTGTGCAAAGCTTTATGAAGGTTTGAACATAATGAAAAGTGATTTAGAATTCTGTTAAACTAAATATTTCATCATTAATTTCCTCCTCTCGGTCTGGGTTAATATAAAACAAGAATAGTCATATTATAACATGGCATAATATTCATGGTAATCTGTGCTGTCTATCAAGTATTTTATTTAGAAAAGATTACAGAGCCTTTAAATACATGCTGTTATTTGGTAGAGCTCAGAAAAATGGCATCTCTTTCATCTTGCATAGCTTTACTTTGAAGCTTCTGCTTTGTTGTAATGCTGTTGCTAGTCTTGTCAGTCAGTTTGAGTGTACCTTTAGTGCAAAATTCAGTTTAGTTGATACATCAAATGATTCTTCTTGTTTTATTTCCTTTCTGCAAAAGGGAATTCGTTTTGACCCAGAAATCCCTCAGACGCTCCGACTAGAGTTTGCAAAGGCCAACACGAAGATGGCTAAGAGCAAATTAGTGGGAACTCCTAATCCCAGCACTCCTGCCACCCCCAATGCAGTACCTCAGTTCATTACCAGAGAGCCATGTAAGTGATGGAGTTTCATTGTTAAATTAGAAGACTGATATGTGCATCTTCAAGAGCGGAATGTTTAGCAAACAGCAGCACATTCATGTTTATGGTAGCTTTTTCAACAGAGGTTTATTTCTGTTTTCCTTGTTCCTATGAAAATGATGAATATGGAGATCTTGGTTTGGGGTTTTTTCAGTTGATGGATCATTTGAATGCTTTTCTCAATTCCTATGTAGGCCACCGGCATGCAACTCCTCCTTCAACCTCAAAACACAGCTTTGGTTCTATGAAGAAATCTTGTCATTTAATCAGGCAATGATTCATATTCTGTAACTTGGGTAATATTTATGGAGCATTTCTAAGGCAAAAAAACCCTATACATTACAGCAACAATCTGTCTTTTAAAATGAATTGCACCATGATGGTGTGATATAAATGTGTACATTTGTGGGATATGTATATTTTCCTGGTCATGGGTGTCCACAGAGGTTTCTTACTTCTAACCACAGAGGTTAAAACCGATTTTGTTGTATTAAGTACTTCCATAAAAATGTGGGTGAGGCTTGCAATGCAACACAGACTTTGTCAGTTTCACCTTCCTTCTGTGGACGTTGCTGCTGTACAATCATGACATTTCCTTTAAAACTTTCGTCAAATTGCTTTTTTCCACCTAGATACCTCCTAGTGCATATGTCAGGGAGTAAGAGAAAAATATAAAAGAGTAACTAATAAAGCAAGGATGTAGAGGCTAAGTGTTTATGAATTGTTCTTGCATAGTAACTTCCATGTATATCCCCCGGATCAGGCTATTGCTCACAAATTATCTCGATTCAGAATGTATAGTCAAATGACCAAGCTTGCCAGTGATGACAAATTATTCAAAATGGCAAATTGTTTCTTATGAAAATATGCTTGCAAATTTGCATGACTTGCAAAGAGAGCATGTCCACACTGCATTTCACTTTGCTATATGAGTAGCTTTTTAAGATGGAGCAGCTAAGGATTTTGCTGTTGCTTCAGGAAGCAACAAAATTGCATCCAATGCATCAACAGCATTTTTTGTTTGCTTCTGAATGGCAAAATAAGGATGATAGTATGGTGTGTTGTTAATTAATAGAACTGTGGTGTTAGATCAGACCTCTGCAATATACAATATATGAAAAACTAATTGAACTATATGGTTTAACCCTATTCTTAACAACTTCCAAAGATGGAGAATTCTATAGTCTGTTCTATTGTTATATAGAATTTACAGGCAGGACATTTTTCTTTAGATTTATTTTAAATGTAATTATACCCATTATTTCTAGTCCCACTTTCTGTAGCATTGGAAAATAGTTTCTGTGTGCCTGAATATTGCTATCATGTTGATATAGATATCATGTCTCCCCTCAGTCTTTTTCTTTTCCACAATTTGAAGAACTCCATATAAGGCATGTCACCAGATCACCATTATTATTTGTGTTGTCTTCCACTTTTCTAACTTGTCAATATCCTTCCAGAATTGTGGAAGATATTCCAGGTATGATCTCACTGCTTGTCACTTATCATCCTTCCCGAAATTTACCGTATTTCGGATTTTTTTCCTATTTTATTCTTGTTTTATTAGAAACTATTTTTCCTCCTGCCTTAAGGTAATATCATATTCTGTATTTATGAACAGCTCTGACAATTATCAGGAACTATCAAATTTGCTAATAAATACTTTGATAAACCCATATCTCATAGGTTCCTTGGCTGGCTATTTGCGGCTGTGTATAGAGTATACAGTCACATGGTGTGGAATTATGAGAGTTCTGAAAAGAAAATTTGAAACTAAGCAAACAGATCTGGTATATGTTTATGTAATTTTGCATAATTTTCAGGTTTATAGTTTGCTTGTTAGAATTGTGAAAGAAGTAGCTTGAAAAAGCAAATGAAATGTTCAGGCATTTAGTACTTCCAGCTTTGGTAAAGATTTTATTTAATGGAATGACTGAATTGTTATTTTTGTAACTGGAATAAAAAAATAGCTCTTGCTAACAATGTGCTTGTTTGTTTCCTTTGCGGCAGAATTGTCCCCAAACAAATCGAATTTTGCATGACTTTAATTTTGCCAGAAACAACAGTAGGACAAAGTAAACAAGAAAATAGACTATAAATAACAATGTTTTATCATGCTGTCTTAAATTCTCTTAAAACTATCTTCTGTCTTCATAGATCCATGTAGTTTAAAATTATAATAGAGAATGTGCACCTTGATCTGACAATTATGGTTTTGTTAATAAGTCAGTGTACCTTTTTTCAGAACAGCTTTGATAACTTGCACACCACAGGCTCTTTATTTTCACAATTTAGTTTGAAAGTTCCCTTAAGCCTAAAGTTAATATTTAGTGTAGTAGCATCCATATTTTACTCTATCTTTGTATATTGGATAGGATAGGTTCTCTGCTTCCCCAGAAACGTACAGCTTAAATGTCAGCAGAGGAAAGGCAGCAGAGAAATCATGAAATGCTAGAGGCAAAAGTAATAGAAGAAAGTGTGAATACAGCTGCATTGTTTTGAAAGTTTCCAAAAGTTTTATTGGAATAGAAAAGAGACTGGGAACTTGGATGTACAAAAATGTTCCTTGGTGTTGCTTTCTTGTTAAACTCCTCCCATGTGACATCTTATGGATGAGGTTAGGGAATGGTATGAGTGTATTTATAAGCTTGTTCCCTTCCCAACCTTAGGAATGACCACAGGCCTTTGGAATGGATGATAAAGGGAAGGTTGTTTGCTTTAGCTCTTGCCAACCTTTTCTTGTTTATCTTACTTTCAAATTGACAGCATGCACACTTAATCTTTTATATAATTAAAATGCATCTTTGTCAGTTCTACTGAAATGAAACTCTTTAGGCTATTCTTCAATGTTTCTCTGCTGTTGGCTAAGGGTGTGAAAGGAGAGGATTTCAAACAAGTGACATAAAACTGGTTCTAAATGAAGTCTCTTGCAGTGAGTTTCTCTTTTGTCTGTAGATAAGACACTTGCCATCACATTAGGGATACATAATTTGTTAAACAATACTATTAAGAAGGATCAGGGAAGGCAGCTCTGTCTGAAAGAGAAAAAGAAGGAGAACCTGCCACAGGCCAATACCCGATTCTTGGGCTGCTGATCTCAAAAGTGTGAGAAGTAGCTGTAACAGCAGCTTTTTCCATCTGCTGCTTCCTGTTACTGTTGTTTCCCCCAGTTGTTCTGTTTCTTGGGATTTCTTGGAGGGTTTCAATAGATGCTGTACTGTATAAGTCAATAATGACAGATTTGTGATAAAGTCGTGTCCCATTATTTTGTATCAGTTTGGAAATGCCAATGTGGTAAAGCAAAATTGAGATTGAACTAAAAGCGAAGTAAAGATTCTTTTTCTAGTCAATATATTACAAAAATATATCTTAGTACCCCTCAGAAAAGACAAGCAAACGTATGTGATCTATCCTGATTCTTACACATTTTCCATCTTTGCTTGTGGTATTTGATAGAGATGCTTGTTAGATGGCACACTGAAAATGACAGGCTCAGTGATGGAAAGGGTAAATTAGTGCCAAGGATTATTAGGGAAGGACTTGATAATAGGCAGAGATACTATCATAACAGCCAAAATTGCATTTGAGTTACTGCATATTGTTTGCCCCATGTCAAAAAGTAGATCAGAGAATTGGAAAAGTTGCAGAAAAGGGCATTTACAATGTTGAGTTGGTTATAAAATCTTCTGTTCAAGGAAAAAAGGAAAAAAATGAAGCTGACCTTGAATTCATTGTGCCTACTTTGTGTCCTTGTTTCTTAGAGAAAAACAAAGCAAGAAGCAGCAGTGACTTTAAGTAGTTGGCCCTGATAAATAGCTTGAACATGAAGGTTTAATATTGCAAAATTAGAACCACATAAATGTACTCTTTGCTCTGTGATTAGCACTTTGTATGCATTGTTTCGAAAGATCTAGATTCTTCCCCACTTCCACCAGATTCTTAATAGATGTTTATTTTCATTAGGAAGCTAAAACAAAATAATTATTGATTAAGAATGAAAGTTCTGTTCGTTTCAAAACAGTTGAACAGATTTAGAATGACAAAATCATTCGGCTTTAAAAGTTTAATCGTGCCAAGCAAGCAATAAACAACCAGACTCAATGCAATAAAGTCTGCTTGTTTAAATGGATACAAATTTTTGATACAACACAATAATTAATAAACAATGGCAGGACTTGCAATAGAAGAAAAACATCACATTGAATATTAGGGAGAAAATTGGTTTTATTGCTGGTATATTAGTATTGATTACTAAAATGGATAATTCACTGTCTAATAATTGTTGAAAATGTAGTGATCAAGCTGGATCATGGTTCTATATTGAGTTGCAATGTTGCAAAATTCAACGATTTCTGAATGTGATTTATAAATAACATTGTGAAACAAAGTTTAAAAGCTGATTTTCCTTTCCCACTTGATGCTTTTAATTAAATATTACTTTTCCACAAAGTGCATTGAACTAATTTTGTGCATGACAATTCTGCATTGATACTTTATGCTTCCTAAATAGTAATTATTATAATTCTTAATCTCATTTTATGATTTTTGTGATGTTTTTGATATTGATATTTAATGTAGATATTTGGTACTGATACTTGGATGTTGGCAATATCGTGTAGTTTTAAAAATATTGTAGTATATTTAGTTATTTAAAACTAATCAAGCAAATACTAAAATGATCCTATTTCTCTCATGCCTACAAATTCCCTTTTTATTCATCTTGTGTACATTTATGTACAGTTGGTGCCAGTGACGTGCGGTGAGGTTTATGGCTGGTGAGGCACTGATGTCACACACACACACACACACACACAGAGGCAGATGTCACACAAGGGCCCTTCAAAACTAAACGTTTTTTTTTTTACTGGTGGGGAATTAAAACTTCCCTTTTCCTCAATGGGAATCATATTCAGACAAAGAAAATTATTAAAAATATCCTTTCCTTTCTGAAGCCTGGCTCTTTCTCTGCGCCT